CGTTTGTGTCATCTATTTAAACTTTATTTTACCAGGTAAATTACCTGAAAACCAGTTCTCACTGCTTTACGTGCTTTTCGGGAGAAATAGCAGATAACGCATCGGAACTGCCTGGGATACAAATGTCATGCGTGTGACTAAAATCTTCAGCCAAGGGCAAAGTTGTGTTGTCATGAAGGCGGTTCCAGTTTGTGCAGCCGGCTGAGAGGTGCTGCACATCCTGCTCTCGCAAGGTTTTTGTAACATGTGACATGGTGATGCGTCGTGACGTTTTGGAGAGAAAAATCTAACCATGATACATTGCGTCAGGACCAAAATGCATTGCTTTAAGCCAGCACTGTAATAGGCTGCATGAATTCAAACGCACTCATTGTTGTTTTGATGGGTCATGCTAATGCAGTTGCCCATTAACAAAAACAAAATGTGTGATACGCTGAAGTATGTCATTGCTGGTGGTTAAAAGGAGGTTGCTAGTTTTATTGATGATAGGACCTTTCTGAAACAATCTCGGGATATGAAATAGGAAGGCAATTCACTTACAGCTCAGTAGCGGAATCAGTATTTTTTCCGCACCGCGAATGCAACATTTTCCTTGGACTTCAAGTGTTTGCTGTTTGTGGGTGTGTATTCCGTTGTCTCGGGCCGCTTCTTCTTCAGAAGAAGCACGGCATGAATTTGGAAAACTATTCTCACAACAGTTTTAAACCCTGCTGTATAATGTATGTCCTAAGTCGCAATTTTGATTTGAAATCGATAAATCGTTCAGCCCTGTTAGTCTTTAAAAATGATAGCTTCAAATAGTGATAGTTAAAGCAGAAAATCCCATTGTGAAACGTACTTATAATCCTGTTCATTTTTGTCTGCTTTTCAGGTGGTTGACGTGACATATTTTCCGACATGTGCTCTCTGTCCACTGGTGAGAGTGTGCTCACCTGTGTGTGCGCGCGCATCGGAGCGGAACCGCCATGCGTGATACAGAGAGCAGAGGAGAATTGTAAAATGCAGGGCGCCCCCCTAATATAATGGTAGGGGAAACACTGTGGTGGATGTCAGTGAGTCGTGGGAGAGACTGGTCAGGAATCTGACCTTCCTCAAAATCCAAAATCCAATGGATTTTCTGAACACCATTTTATTGCAGCCTTTAAACTCAGGGCGAGTGTGTACCCTACAAGGGAGTTCCTTACCAGAGGGATCCCAGGAGGTCTGAGTACCTGCTGTGGTTGCCATCTGTTGGAGTCGTGCTCACATATCTTGAGGCAATGCCCAGTGGCTGAGGGAGCCAGGATTGCTAGGCACAATGAGGTATGCACCTTACTTGTAGTCAAGGCCAGGCACTACATATGGTAAGACCATGAGGAGCCACACCTCAGGGAGGAGAGTGGTGACCTGAGGAAGCTGGACATTATAGTGGTTAGGGGCAATCGTGCTTTGGTCATCGATGTGACAGTGAGATTTGAGTACGACCTTGACTCTTTGGATCAAGCATTGACAGAAAAAAATCCATCACTATAGACCGCTGAAATCTCAGATCTCACAATCTCAAATCTCGCAGTTGATGGGGGTGGAGCAGGTCATGTTCCTTGGTTTTGTAGTGGTGGTCCAGGGGCAAATAGCCTGCATTCAACTATGAAATCCTGTCCATACTGGGGCTGGGCAAGACCAGGTCAAGGCAATCTGCTGAACTGGTCAGTCTCAGAACTATGCTATTCTCCCTGAATGTCCTCAGAGTGTTCTGTGGCTGCAGCAAAAGGTATGTGACCAGGAGTAACCTGGAAACCCAGAGTTAGGTCCTACCCTCTTTATGGACCTAGTTAGATGTCCTGTCTCCCCTCGGGTTGAAAAAATGAGGTTGGTTCCTGATAATAGCATCTTTTGCTTGTCAGACAGGCTAGGCCCAACCCCCTATAGCTCTACCCAGGGTTTGGGCTGAAAATGACAGGTGGGCCTTTGCTACTCTGGACCCTCTGATGCCTTGCACAGATGTGCCACTGTGAGTGGATATTGTGGGAAATAATGGACTTTGTAATGATTACTATCTGCTAAGGACATTGGCATTATTAGTCACGATGCGATCATGTGTGGCATCACTGAATGACACTGGACAGGCCAGTTAACTTGGAATATTTTATGAAAGAATAGTCAAATGCCTCGTCATCTAATTAGTGATGCACATGAATCAATTAACGAGATTCCCACTGTCCCTACCTACTATCTAGTGAAACCACAACCAAGGGAATGGGCTTGGCAGAATCAGTGAGGAAAGAAGACCCTGTTGCGCTTGACTGTAGTCTGACACTGTGAAGAGAAGAGTGGGAGGCCTTAGTCACTGGTGAAATACCACTACTCTTAACGTTTCTGCACTTACCCGGGTAGGCAGGGAGGTGAGCCCGGAGAGGGCTCTCACTTCTGGAGTCAAGGTGCCGGTGTGTGACCTGGTCCGGTGACAGTGGCAGGTGGAGAGTTTGACTGGGGTGGTACACCTGTCAAGTGCTAATGCAGGTGTCCGAAGGTGAGCTCAGGGAGGACAGATACCTCCTGTGGAGAAGGGCATAAGCTCATTTTATATTGATATTCAGTATGAATACAGACCGTGAAAGCGGGGCCTCACGATCCTTCTGGCTTTTTGGGTTTTAAACAGGAGGTATCAAAAAAGTTACCACAGGGATAACTGGCTTGTGGCAGCCAAGCGTTCATAGCGACGTTGCTTTTTGATCCTTCGATGTCGGCTCTTCCTATCATTGTGAAGCAGAATTCACCAAGCGTTGGATTGTTCACCCACTAATATGGAACATAAGCTGGGTTTAGACCATCATAAGACAGTTTAGTTTTACCCTACTGATAATGTGTTGTTGCAATAGTAGTCCTGCCAGAGGAAAAATCACTCGCAGACGACCTGCTTCTAGGTGGGGGTGTTGTCATCCATCCTTCCAAAACTTTGTCAGTGGATCGGGCTGCAGGGCCAGCCCACCCCAGGGTTGGCAGTCCACGGTGGACCAGGTGGCCAGGTGGGGGCAGGCACACCCTGCTGGAACCTATTTCACGGTGGGCCATGTGGCCAACAAGAGAGGCAGCCAGGGCATACACCGAAGTGCTGTGGTTGACTAGGCAGCCGGATGACTTAATTCCTGGAATCTCACATGCTTAATTGGACCAGATGGCCAGATTTCCAGTTAGTTGACCAGGCAGCTGGATGACTTAATTCCGAGAATATCAACCGGTCAATTTGGGTTTGGTGGACAAGATTGCCAGATTCCCATTCAATGGACCAGATGGTTCCATCTCACCGTTTGAAAGGGGTATCATTCCTAATACCCTAAGTATAGGCCAAAGTGGCAACCTTAGCTTGAACTCAAGGTCCAATAGGCCTAGGGAGGTAGCAGGGGCTTGGCTGAATCCTTCTCTGGCCAGGATTTGGGGTTAGGGTCTTAAGGTTAGAGACAAGGTAAGGGCTGGAGGTACCGAGAGGTGCCTGGGTCCTTTCCTGGGGTAAGCTTGGTAGAGGTAGAGGTCCATCCAAGCTCCCCCCCCCCCTCCCGGTTCAAGCTCCTTTATGGGTTTGAGCCAGGGGTAAGGGCTGGAGGTACCGGGAGGTGCCTGCGTCCTTCCCTTGGGTGTGGATGTCTACTTTAAATGAACCTTTCTATGTTATGTTACAGAGTTCTTCAGCAGCCTAACCTCAATCATGTTCACATAAAGGGTTACTGACGTGTTCGATAGGTCCGATTCAGGTGGAGAGATGGGGGAACCAAAAGGCGAGCCACTCCAGTTCAGATAGGCGGATATAGCTTCAATGTAGTTATCTACTTTTTCTCTGTAGCTTGCAGTATAGCTAACTGCTATATTGAAATAGTAGCTTTTATGTAGCTCAGCTACTTTTAATCATAAGCAGCTTGTAGCCTGCCAAGCTACCATTTAAATGTAGCTTCCTCAACCCTGCATATGAAAACATTTGGTAACGCTTTACATTAACTCTATAATGCATTCATAGCACATGGAATGCACCTTCATAATGCATTCATAATGCAATCATAGAACATTCATAAGCAGTATATAAATATACCCTAACAACCTAACATACCTTAACAGCTTTAATATACATTAATAACAAATGTTATATGATAATAACAAACATTCTATTCATATAATTGTATAATGTATAAAGCTGTTAAAGTATGGGTATACTTACATACTGCTTATGGATGTATTATGTAGGAACAGGTAATGTAAAGAGTTACCAAACATTTAAATTTGTTATGAAAGCAGTTCAGTATTCAAAATGTGATATGAAAATCACCTAGTGTGACTTGCCAGTGATACTTCAAATGTACTTTTAGAAAAAAATAGGCACCATTTAATGTAACTGTAGATTAGTAGGGATCATGTCAGGATAGTCAGACATGTAACTGACAGTTGATTTCAACGTGAGGGATTACTTAATATTTTATTATCCATCTTATAGTAAATGTCAATAACTGAGCTTAATTTTATTGGATGTTTGAACTGTATTGGATCTGTTATGTATTTTATGTTCAAACACCTCTACATAAACAACTGAAAAATCTGAACAGATTTCGTATATAATATTCTGATGTGATGGAAATGGTATGCTCTTAGGCCATGAGATTGCCTGAGAATTTCAGTATGGCTTTTTAATCAGATAGACAATAGATAGCTCTCTTGTGTACCATATTGTTCTGTCTGCCAAAAGCAAATTCCGTTTAATCTTGATGCTTGTTTTTCAATCGATATTTACATTCCTGTTGATCTCCTGGGCTGCATGTGCATGCACGTGCAGAAGCACAGACACACGCACACCTCTAGGCCACAATGTCCTTATCTTGTGGCCTGCTGGGTAGCAGAGTTAGACAGCAATGCAAGGTACAAGCAGATTAGAATAATAAGTGGCTGGAAATACATTCAAGTACAAGATGACTGTATCAGACAATTGTGTTGAAGGAGTGTTTCAGATTGTGTTCAAAACAACTTCTGTCATTTTTCAGGGGAAGACCCCGGAGCTGTGTGGAGGACACGACTGCCATCAGTGTCCATGTTTCCCAGCCAAGGGAACCCGGGTAATGCTATTCGTGCCCACACCTTACAGTGACAACATCATAATCAAACCTGATCTTATCCATCTAGGGCTGGAATTTCACAGAGATTATGGAGCTCAAGTACTGAGATGGTAATCCTGCTGGGTTTTACTGGTGAATAAATCCTTTAGCATCCTTAGATATTATAGATCAAAGACTTGGGTTGGATTTGTTAAATTTAGTTACACTGAAATCACAGTATATGTTACATTATTAGCATCTGGCACTGGGCTAAATTTCCCGCCCTATAAAATCAGATAAAATAAGGTTAAGATTTTTTTGTGGGTAGAGGGATACAATTTTCAATAGTAAAAAGGGCCCATCATGAATCCCTGTCTTGAATCCCTACATAGCAGAACACAAGTATACCTCTACTGTATAAACAAGAAGTTTGAGCATGCTCAGATGGCAAAATATTAGTGATATTTGTTAGTATTACTGATAACACTTTTTGGCTGTTCTAAGATTTGTATACAGTGCTATATTTGTTTGTATATCTGGATGATATGTTTCACATACTACTTCTTTAATGTGTATGTCTTAAAATGACATCTGTCGTAATAAGCTTTTGTCTGGCATTACACAATATTGCTATACAAATATAAGTGCTAGGGCCACAAAGGTGCTCTTTAAAATAGACATTTATTCACTTGTAAATGAAGTTACAGTGAGCTTTGTAGTAAATACTGACACTCACATACAGACCCCAACACAAACATATACAGCTATTTTTCCAGATTAGGTAGAGATTCATGGGCCCCTCCAGGTGTACGTCTGTACGCACTGGGCATACCAATGCCATTTAGATCTGTTTGATATTTGGCTACTGTTACATTTTTTTGCCTTGTTATGTCTGCAACAGAAACATAAAAGAAGTAGGGCTATCTGATTTTCAGTAAAATATGAATCACAGTTTTTTTTTGTTCAGAATCAAGATTATGAATTTCTTTTACCATTCTTGAGAAATTTATTTTTCTATTTATTATTATTTTGCATTATGCATTGTCTTTATGAAGATACTAACAATCTGTGGAGATGTGTAATATATCAGTTCATATGCCAATACTGCCAGCCCATATTAAAACTTTATCAGTATTCAAAGTTAGCAGCACTAGAGCTAAAGACACAACTACTGAAATAATAGACATGATTGCATTCATTCATTGCATTCCAAGTTCATTCTTGGGACACAAGTTAGCAAGAACACTCTTGCTAAGAGCACAATCACATTCTTTCCGTTCTTGCTATTGATTAGCAGATTTTTATGTTCAGCAGACATTTATGTGCATCGGAACACGTCAACTGCGCATGTGCAAGGAAACTGATTAGGTATATCCAGTAAGCTGCAGTACTGACTTTCACAGAACAAATGTCAACAAGAAAAGCATAGAATAAGAATATCGTAGCACTGGGCAGACCAAGGCATCACAAAAGCAGTGAAGGACGAGGAAACTTGCTTGCTGGGGCAGAAAACGCTCTTTATTATAGTCCACTTTAGGATTGTAACAGGCACCCAACAACTGCCGAACCCTCTACCAAACTTGCAGAAACGCAATGAGGTCAGATGCCGGACCGTCAGGTACACACAGGGTGGGTAATTTACAAGACACTAGAGACACGCGAGGGTACATATAAGACATGAGCAAGCTAATGTGCAACAATAGGGAATGCAGCTATAATCATAACAACAACAATACATGGGTTATTTACAATTACATGCGGGGCATGCTGGGACATGTAAACCTTGCTGGCACTGTGGTTAGCAGATTTTTATGTTCAGCAGACATTTATGTGCATCAGGGCATGTGGACTACACATGTGCAAAGAAATTTCTTAGGTATTTCCATGAAGTTGCAGTACTGACTTTCACAGAACAAATGTCAACAAACAAAGCATAGAATAAGAATAGTTATCGTACTTGTAGTTATTATGGAGAGCAGCTATATAAGGAGATGTTGAGGTACTCGCATATCTGATTTTTTATATTGGCCATTTTACCTCCCAAAATGGTATTTTCCCCCCAAGGATAACCTCAATGTAATAAAAACGTATGACTACAGTTAAAAAACTAAAAATGTTTAAAGTCTTGTATTTTGATTGGTTAAGGTTAGGGGCTGAGTAGTGTTTAAGGTTGTCTTTGTTGGGATTACAGTTTTTCCCATGGAATGGAAGGTCCCCATTTAGATAGGTACACCAACGTGTGTGTATGTGTGTGCGTGTGTGTCAACATTCATATATTTTTTATATTTTATTAAAGATATTTATCGTACTTTACTATCAGAATCACGCTTTTGATGGGCTCATGATGCTTTTTAGTATGAATGCTGTAACTTGGTAACTGCTGGTATAATTCTTCAGCCTCATTACTTCTCTGTCACATGAGTCTAGCTGCTGACAATCTCACAATCAGCAAAAAATGTTTCAGGTATGCTACAAAGACAAGAGTCTGTTTGACTCTAGAATACCTTGGTCCTTTTCAGTTTCCTCTGTCTTATCTCTTATCTCAGATAGCATCAATGCTGGCAGTTAGTCATGTCTGCAGTCTTCCCAGTTTTATGCTTTTTATGTATATATTATGTCTGGAATTTTTCATGTGAAACAAAAAAGTGGCACAAAAACATTAAAAAATTTTCTTTTATGTATGCTTATGTAATTTATAGTGCACAAGAAAGTAAGTGGAAGATTTTTGCAACATTTCTGTAATTCTTAAATGTTAATGCATGGTGGCTTTTCATGAAAAGACGGTTGATTCCATTTGGGATACAGTTCTACAGTTTGTGATAATCTTTTATTCTGAATTTTTATTTGAGATAATCTGCACAGCTGGGCTATGACTTCAGTGAGTTGTAGTGATGGGCCGATGAAGCTTCATGAAGCTTTCCGGCGTTCCCCATAAAGTGCCAGAACTTGTCTTCAAACCTTTTTCTCAATCATAGAGAGACCCCTAGTGGGGTTCGGCAACACTTTGAACAATCTAAGAATGAAGTACAGTGGTACCTCAGAACTCAAACTTAACCCGTTCAGAACTCCGGATCTAATCCTAAAAAGTTTGAGATCTGATCGAATTTTCCCCATAAGAAATAATGGAAAACCAATTAATTGGTTCCCGGCCCCAAAAAAATTACACCTAAATATGTTTTTTTTTAGCATTTAAACACCGGATAAAACAAGAACAGCATATACTGTACTAAAGACATCTAAGCACATTTATCAAAACAGTAATTTGTAAAGTAAGAAAATAAATGTATCCAAACAAAGTGTAAAGTTAAAAAAAACAATTTGTCCTGCCCCGAACGCTCCTTCTGTGTGCCACACCCCCTCGTTAACCCCGTGTGATCAGCTGTGTCTGGTTGTTTTCATTAGCCCTCTGTATTTCGTCTGCGTTTCAGTTTGTTTCCCCAGTCCGGTCATTGTATTGTCCGTCTGCATTTTGCCTGCCTTACCTGTAATTAAACCCCATATTGCCCGATACCCTGACTGTCACGCCCCGCTCCGTCCGACCCTAACGTGTGCCACCTCATGTTAACCTCATGTGTAATCCCAGTGTTTTACAGCTGTTTCTGATTGTTGTCATTAGTTCATTGTATTTAGTCCACGTCTGTGTTAGTATCCCCAGTCCGGTCATTGATGTTGTATCGTTGCGTGCTTTGTGTTGTGCTTTAATTAAACCCCGTGTTCCTGATCCCTGGCTTCCTGCCTGCCTGTTTGTCGGACCGCGAGTGTAACACTGACATCTGCGCCTTTGTCTCCGTTCCGTCCCCGCTGGGCATGACAATATTATTATAATTAAATGTATTAATGGTTTATTATTAATATTAAAATAATGCATAAGAAATCTTTATTTTTAAATATATTGTATTATATAATAATATTCACTGTTACTGTCTATCATTGTCTAAATGTATTTTTACTGTCTAAATATATGTATTCAGCTAGTGTAAACATGCACGATGCTATCACAGCGAATGCGAGACTGAGACTGAAGCGTTACCCTTTTTTTCTGCTGAGAGACGTGCCGTGAGACTCATTTCCCTGCGCCTGCAAGTTATCTTACGTCGGCGTTCAGGGTTTGACTTCTGAGATTCAGATCGAGCTCTAGGTAATTTTTTTTCGATCTGGTTGGTTCGACTTTTAAGAAATTCGAGTTCTAATGAGTTCCAGAACTGAGGTACCACTCTATATCCATTTGCATCAAATGAATAATGTGGCTGGTATGACTGCAGGGTCTGATAGTGTTATGCTAAATATTAGAGATGTACTGATATTTGGATCGGTATCAGCGCCGATCCAGACCTATTTGCCGGTGTTCTGACGAGTTGAACTACCTATCGAGACGTACTATCGAGCCTTTTTGCGCATGTGCAGTTCCACCGTCTTGGGATTAGGGTTAGGTTTTAGGGGTTTGGGTTAGGGTAAGGGTTTTAAGGGGTTTGGGGTTTAGGGTTAGGGTAAAAGTTAGGGTTAGGGCTATCGATTAACACTACGGTAGGATAACTCGACAAAGTAGCTCATTTTGACAGAACCCCGGATCGGGTATCGGCCATGCGTGACCGATCCATGTCCTATACATACTTATTTAGTTTTTGGCAATCAATCGCACTACAGCTCTTTCCCATTTTACATGTTTTTTGCGGCATTCAAATCGAACGCTATCGCTGCCCCTCAGTCTTTTTTGCTACTCAGAGGGTGTGAGTACAGTGACTTCCACCTGCTGTGATGTCATGCGCATACCCTTCGCAGTACGAGGAGCGTAAGATAAGATGTGACGATCTGGGAGTATTATACGCTTTTAACAAAAACCAGTAGCACAGCGATTTGCAATCTTTGCAAAATAAAGTTTTGAGGTGGGAATAACGTTTAATGGACTATCTCATTTAACAAAGCTCACGCAAATGCGAGACAAAACAAAGCAATGGATGATTTGGGAGTCGCTAACTTAATTGAACTGTTTTGCGAACTCGCTGCAGCTTGTGATACAAGAGGGGCTGCCATCGCAACAAAAGTGTAACTGCGCTGACGTCAATGAGGGAAAAACTGAAAATTTTTAAGCATTCGCCACTTGTGTATACTTGCTTTGAAGATATTCATATTGAACTGCAAATGCCTCAAAAATGTTTAAAACAAACAAGGTGGAACAGTACGTTATGTATGTTTGTAGTAGCCTAATTAAATATTTTTTTGTCATATTTTTTCCATCTGTATTTACTAACTTAAAAAAAATTAATATATAAAGTATAACAAAATAAAAAGAGCTCTTGGATCGTAATCTGTATCGGTATCGGCAGTTGTGTAGCGGAATCGGATCGGAATCGGATCGGAACTGAAAAAATGTGTCTCTACTAAATATATGTATTTACAATAGAATACTGTGATGGATCTGGGACAAACTCTTTAATTGTCGATAACCTGTTGCCAATGAGGTGCTGCAATGTGTGTGACCATTTTCACTTGGAGTTTAGAGGGGAGTTTTTAAACTGGGGAGATGGTGCACTGGGGGGAGAAAAAATCCTCCTTGTGTTGTAGCTTGACAGTCTCACGGGGGCAATGAAGATATTTAGCACATTGAGGATGTGTTATTGCCTTATGACAGATGCTTGGAGTAAGGCACACCTGGCCAATACAATAATGATAAATAATATGGATATAATCTTTTACATTTATTCATTTTGCAGATGCTTTTATTAAAAGCGATTTACAACAAGGGAATGGAAACCCAGCCTCCCCTGTGGCAGGCAAGAATTGAACAAGGAAAGATACTAATAGTAATAATAATAATAATAATAATAATAAATAATAATCATAATAAATAATTTTGTATTTTGCCATTTCGATATTCATTCAGCTTATTGGGAGACATCAGCATTAGTTTTTGGCAATCAATCGCACTACAGCTCTTTCCCATTTTACATGTTTTTTGCGGCATTCAAATCGAACGCTATCGCTGCCCCTCAGTCTTTTTTGCTACTCAGAGGGTGTGAGTACAGTGACTTCCACCTGCTGTGATGTCATGCGCATACCCTTCGCAGTACGAGGAGCGTAAGATAAGATGTGACGATCTGGGAGTATTATACGCTTTTAACAAAAACCAGTAGCACAGCGATTTGCTCAAACTATTTGGAAATATTTGAGGATTGCCTCTTGCCATTTCCAGAGCCACTTTCCATAATGAATCAAAAGGTGGTGTATGTAATGCAAACTGTATAGCCATCAGTCTCTCTAGCTGCAAAAGAACCCCACGATGCCCAAAGGTTTCATCTTGCTTTTATAAAAGGTTCGAAAAGCCGACAGATCCGAAACCTCTGACACCTCAGGATGAATTGAATGTCATTGGTCACAGGATATTGCATAAATGAACCAAGCTCCGACTCCCAGCTTCGAGTCACTGGGCTTCACTTTAACAAGGCAAGCTCAGAATTCTCTGTATTATACAGTATGTCCCATCACTAGTGAGTTGTATTAACTGCATTAACAGAAATAGCATAACTATTGTTTTTGATACTTTTGTCGCAGAGTGGTTCTGTTATCACAGTCCTCTGATTGGTTGTCACTTTCATCCCAGGAATCATTTAGTACATACTTTATCTCACTACAGAAATACTACGCAGAAATACAGTACTAATTACCGTAGAAGCAAAAACCACTAGGTTAAGCAATTCAATTTTTAGCTTAATTTGACATTGGCTGTTGAATACAATAGATACATATCAATGTCTGATAGCAGTCACAAAATTCAAAGTAACCCAGTTTATTTTTCTTCAGCTTAGAATGCACAAAACAGACCATTTCAGATCAGAGTGTGCTCCTTGTGTATTGTGAGGGGAAACATGCAAGTACATAATATTTCAGTTTATAACCATGTAGCATTTGAGTTTACATGTTTGTGAAGTAGAATCATGGGGTTTATGTCTTCTTTTGGCCTGAAATTAGTTTAAACTTTGATGTAAAAAGATAGCAGAAACAGATAAATTAATAAAGAATCTTAATGCGAAGTGCATATAAGGCAAGTCCAACAGCTTATATTAAGCTATTTTACCTATAGTTTGAGGAGATATCACTAGAGTAAAATATTATTTTTTACCTCTAGTTACAAGACATTTCTTTATTATATGGATTTGTTGCCCTCATGTGGCTATTTTGAAAACAGCAAATAAAAACAGTAACATATTGTGTGTTGCAACACACAGAATTAGTCATTGGCTCAGCAGTCATCAGAGGTGGCAATTTCAGGTCCAGAAATTAAAAATTCAGACCAAGATTTTGTTTCAACCAACCAGTTGAGTACTCTGTGACTGTGACTCTTTATGCTCAACTGGTTGGTTGAAAGTAAATCATGGTCTGGATTTTTACTTTCTGGACCTGAAATTGCCACCTCTGGCAGCCATGACCTGTCAACAAGTTAATGCAGCCGCTCCTGTTCCAGGGATCCAGGGCCTAAGAACAGCCACATTGATTGAGTCTGTCTCTTGTAGAGACACGCACTGATACATTATATTGCCAAATCAGTGTATTCAGGTGTTCCAATCACTTCCATTGCCATAGGTGTATAAAATCAAGCACCTAGGCATGCAGACTGCTTCTATTTGCGAAAGAATGGGTCGCTCTCACCAGCTCAGTGAATTCAAACATGGTGGATAGGATACCACCTGTGTAATAAGTCCATTTGTGAAATTTCCTTACTACTAAATATTCCACGGTCAACTGTTAGTGGTATTATACCAAAATTGAGGCAATTGGAAACAACAGCAACTGACCCTACAGACCTCCAAACTTTGTGTGGCCTTCAGATTAGCTCAAGAACAGTTCATAGAGAACTTCATGGAATGGGTTTCCATGACTGAGCACCTACATCCAAGTCTTACATCACCAAGTGCAATGCAAATCATCGGATACAGTGATGTAAAGCATGCCGCCACTGGACTCTAGAGCAGTGGATACGTGTTCTCTGGAGTGACAAATCATGCTTCTCTGTCTGGCAATCCGATGGAGGAGTCTGGGTTTGGTGGTTGCCAGGAGAACGGTACTTGCCTGACTGCATTGTGCCAAGTTTAAAGTTTGGTGAAGGTGGGATTATGGTGTGGGGTTGCTTTTCTGGGGTTGGCCTTGGCCCCTTCCTTCCAGTGAAAGGAACTCTTAATGCTGCAGCATTCAAAGCCATTTTGGACAATTTCATGCTCCCAACTTTGTGGGAACAGTTTGGGAATGGCCCCTTCCTGTTCCAAGGTCCAAAAGGACATGGATGAGCAAGTCTGGTGTGGAGGAACTTGATTGGCCTGCACAGAGCCCTGACCTCATCCCAATAGACCACCTTTGGGATGAATTAGAGTGGAGACTATGAGCCAGGCGTTCTCATCCAACATCAGTGCCTGATCTCACAAATGCTCTCCTGGAAGAATGGTTAAAAATTCCCATAAACACTCCTAAACCTTGTAGACAGCCTTCCCAGAAGAGTTGAAGCTGATATAGTGTGCCAACTCCATATTAAAACCTATGTATTAAGAATGGGATGTCATTAATTAAAGTTCATGTGTGTATAAAGTAGTTGTCCCAATACTTTTGGCAGTACAGCGTTTGTTGAAAGGTTTTGTAAAAGTTTAAAGCATAAGAAATCTATCTTCTCCATTTATCCTAATAAAAATCAGTAATGTTCGTAGAGGTTTATTGCTTTCTTACAGATTTTTGAGGTTGTTTTAACTATCATTGTTCTGTATTTTTCCAGGGGTTGCCAGGTGATCCAGGACAGCAAGGTCTTCAAGGGCCCACTGGCCCTCAAGGCCCATTGGGACCCCAAGGAGAGAAAGGACATAGAGGTCCAGATGGTTTGCCTGGGGAGTCAGGGGTGAAAGGGGAGATGGTAATTGGGACATTGCTGTCCTGTCCTCCTGTCTCAGCGATGTTTGCTGATTCTGTGCGCCCGCTGTCTTCAGCATTCTGATCTCTTTTCTTATAGGGTGACAAGGGGTTCCCTGGTTTCCCTGGGTTTAAAGGGATCTGGGTGAGTATGTACGAAGTGTATAAACATTACCCTTACAAATAATGCTGGTCTTCAAGTCAGTCACATGGTACATGGACAAGGTGCTCCACATGTGTCCCACATTTATTTTGAGCGGGCTCAGTGATATTTGAGTTGTGGAATACTGCAGATCACAGGACACTGTGAAGTAGCATTGTGTACCTGGCACTTACTATCATTACTTGTTTAAAAGGCCCTTAAATCTTTATTTCTTGCTTTTTGTCTCTCATATAACCAGTTCCTTTGCCTCCTTTTCTTAATCTATGCTGAGTGAAGTAAAAATATATGCAATCTGTTAGGGGTTTCAGTTTTCATCTGGATTCAAAGGAGTAGCAGGTGCTTGTACACTAAGTGTGTATGTATCTCATAGCATGGCTCAAGAAGAGTTATACAGATGTTCCTCTAATTACAAACTTTCAACTTAAGAACTTTCAGACATACAAATGAAGAGGACTGTAAGTACAAATTGTGTTCGTTGGGGTTCCTGTCCACAACATCAAATTTTGTTCTGCACGCCAATTCTGTCTAGTATGACTTCTGGTTGCTACTCCCACCGTGGAGCAACGTAACATGTGTACTCCCAGCATCTCAGTTCTTTGTTCTTGCGTATAACCTTAAAATGATGTTGAATAACTACTTACGAACATTTCAATTTACAGTACGAACGGCCGTTCAGAACGTAACTCGTTAGTTAGTAGAAGAGCATCTGTATATGACTTATACTGCAGTTTTCAAGCTTGTGCCTAAATGAGCCACATATATTACTAACAGTTGCTTACTGTCCACATAGTGTATCTGAGTGCTCTACACAAGGGTTACCCAAGCGTACGCCAAGAAGGTCTGGGGAATATTTCTAGTGACAAATATAAAATATACTAGAGTGACATCCATACAGCAGCTCAATTCTTGTTTTTATATATATATATATATATATATATACACTGCTCAAAAAAATTAAAGGAACGCTTTGAAAACACATCAGATGTCAATGGGGGAAAAAATCATGCTGTATAGCTATATTGATATGGACTGGGTAATGTTTTAGGAACGAAAGGATGCCACATCGTTTGATGAAAATGAAAATGATAAACCTACAGAGGGCTGAATTCAACGACACCCCAAAAATCAAAGTGAAAAAATGATCCGGTAGCTAAAAATTGAATTGCTTAACCTAGTGGTTTTTGCTTCTACGGTAATTAGTACTGTATTTCTGCGTAGTATTTCTGTAGTGAGATAAAGTATGTACTAAATGATTCCTGGGATGAAAGTGACAACCAATCCAGTAGTTTGTATGGCCCCCACGTGTTTGTAGGCATGCCTGATAATGTCGGGGTATGCTCCTAATGAGACGACGGATGGTGTCCTGGGGGATCTCCTCCCAGATCTGAACCAGGGCATCACTGAGCTCCTGGACAGTCTGAAGTGCAACCTGGTGGCGTTGTATGGACTGAAACATAATGCCCCAGAGGTGTTCCATTGGATTTAGGTCAGGCGAGCATGGGGGCCAGTCAACGGTATCCATTCCTTCATCCTCCAGGAACTGCCTGCATACTCTCGCCACATGAGGCCGGGCATTGTCATGCACCAGGAGGAACCCAGGACCCACTGCACAAGCGTATGGTCTGACAATGGGTCCAAGGATTTCATCCTGATACATAATGGCAGTCAAGGTGTCGTTGTCTAGCCTGTAGAGGTCTGTGTGTCCCTCCATGGATATGCCACCCCAGACCATCACTGACCCACCACCAAAATGGTCTTGCTGAATAATGTCACAGGTAGCATAATGTTCTCCACAGCTTCTCCAGACCCTTTCACTTCTCACATGTGCTCAGGGTGAACCTGCTCTCATCTGTGAAAAGCACAGGGCGCCAGTGGTGGACCTGCAAATTCTGGTATTCTATGGCAAATGCCCATCGAGCTCCACGGTCCTGGGCAGTGAACACAGGGCCCACTAGAGGACATCGGGGCCTCAGGCCACCCTCATGAAGTCTGTTTCTGATTGTTTGCTCAGAGACATGCACACCAGTGGCCTGCTGGAGGTCATTCTGTAGGGCTCTGGCAGTGCTCATCCTGTTCCTCCTTGCACAAAGAAGCAGATACTGGTCCTACTTATGGGTTAAGTACCTTCTACTGCCCTGTCCATCTCTCCTAGAGTAACTGCATATCTCCTGGAATGTCCTCCATGGCCTTGAGACTGGGCTGAGAGACACAGTAAACCTTCTGACAATGGCACATATTGATGCACCATCCTGGAGGAGTTGGACTACCTGTGCAAGCTCTGTAGGGTCCAGGAATCACCTCATGCTACAAGTAGTGACACTGACTGTAGCCGAATGCAAAATTAGTGAAAAAAACTGTCAGAAAAGATGAGGAGGGAAAAATGTTAGTGGCCTCCACCTGTTAAACCACTCCTGTTTTGGGGGTCGTCTCATTGTTACCCCTCTAGTGCACCTGTTGTTAACTTCTTTAACTAAAACCGATTAACAACCCCCATTGCTACTTAACAGACTAGATCAATATCCCAGAAGTTAAATTGACTCGATGCTATACTATTTTTTTGAGCAGTGTATATATATTTACATACATTATTGGTTCCCTGCCCCCAAAAATGACACCTAAATATGTTTTTTTAGCATTTAAACACAAAATGAACAGGATAAGACAAGTAGAGCATATACTGTACTAAACACATCTAAGCAAATTTATCAAAACAGTAATTTGTAAAGTAAGACATTAAATGTATCCAAACAATGTGTAAAGTTAAAAAAACAATGGGTCTCATTCACCAACTGTTCTTACGAACAAACCCCACCTATGCACTTTTTTACAAATATTCTGACATTCACCAATGTTTTCTTATCTGAATTTTTTTTAGCTAAGAACAGAATCCATGCACACTCAAGACCATTCGTACGCCCATTTGAGTAATGATATTTTGTTCAAAATAATCGGTTATAGCAGTTTTGTTCACTCTACAGTTCATAAAATGATAGTATTTCAATAATTCATAAAAGTAAAATATAAAAGAATTTTAAAGTGTAAAAATTATTTTCATGGTAATAACAGCGATCATTCGGATTATAAATAGGTCTGTTTCTGCGCATTGGCCTTGCTATCAAAATGGCATTTCTGTTACTGCTTGAAGAGCTTGGCAATCTTGCTCTGAGAAGGGAACACATGTTTGAAGATCATTTTAATTTATTTGGCAAACAGCATTCACAGAGAAGGTGATATCTTTCCATGTAACAGAGTTCTTGAGGGCTTTATATCCACTGGTTACGCTACTAAATAACATGTGTTTATTTGCATGTACCTCCTGTACAGTAAAATCCAGTTATAACGGACTTCAAGGGACCTGGCAAAACAGTCCGTTATATCCAAAGTCCGTTATATCCAGAGTTGCTGTATGCCCAAAACACAACTACAGGACACCATTTACTCATGCCACACCCCAGCAGACACACTTGTGGTATAGATTATTATGTTGTACATGTAGTAATCCAACTTAACCTGACTAGATGCGTGACTATTAATAATCCGACTACGTATCTGCGCTGGATATCACCGGCACGCCACGTGCCTTGTAGGCGGAGCCTGCATGTCCGTTATAACCGAATATAGCTACAGCTAAAAGCGGCTCTGGGGATCAAATTGTCTGTCCTTTAAAAGCGAAATTCCGTTATATACGGGTCCGCTATATCTGATGCTTTTTCTGCATGTTCTTAAAGGCGCACTGCCAGGACCAGTGGACCTCTTCTGTTATAGCCGATATTCCATTATAAGCGAGTCCACTATAATGGGATTTTACCAGTGGTGGAATGTAACAAAGTATTTGTACTTTGTTACTGTACTTAAGTACATTTTTACATATCTGTA